AAACGATCACTTTAGCAGGACAGTTTTTCTTTGATAACTGGAAATTCACAAATTACAAGAGAGTCTAAAAGGGCCAGCAGAGAAGCTATAAAGTGCATCTTTGAGCTCTCCAGTTTCCTCTCTGAAGGGTTATTTCTGACCAAATAAAAACGTGCTGTTCACTGCTACCTCTGATGAGGTCATAATACTTCCACAAGAGGAGAAGAAAGGAGCACGTTGGTTTTTAAGGGTGACAGGTTGGTGTCTGACTCACCTGGGCGGGTGTTGTGAACCTCACACAGTGCTGCTGCTACCCAGAGTAAAGGGATGAGGATTTGCTTCACTGCTGTCCCCAGGGCTGGCGCTGCTCTCGGCAACAGCAGCCCCATTCACCTTCGCCTTGTACTTCTCTGCTTCGGCATTTGAGTGCTGCCGTGTATATTGAGCTTTATGTAGCCGACGAGAATGCAACATTCACTTGCACCTCTTAATTCTTAGCTCGCCCACTCGTTCCCCACATTCTGTTTGCTGTGAGGTTGCACTGTGGAAAATTAAACAGATGCAATGGCCCAGGAGGGCGGCTTGTATGCCATTTAGAAATCCATTTTCTTATCTGTCTGGGTTTCCTCCAGGGGGGTTCCAGTGAGGCTACCTTTAGCTCAGAGTTTCCCAAAGCAGTTTATCTTTAACCAGGATTGTTGTGATGTGTCTACGCTTGTTGGATGGGGTTTTAACAAGACATCATAAACATCAGCCACAAGTGTCTGTTTTTTGTACAATACACATTGGCCGTGCCTTCTACGGGAGACAGAGTGAAAAAAACAACCATAGGACTCACGCAGAACTGAACGTTGGCTGTAATAGGACCCCCGGCATACATTTAGCATTGATGTTATCACTATTCAGCTGAGCAAAGCGATGTCTGATGCTCTGCTCAATGGCTTTTATATTTTATTTTAGGCTGTAATGCAATAACTTTTGAGCGCTGCATCCAATCAATTCCAAAATTTCAGGGAAGGCAGAACCCTATTGAATTTTGGTGACAAATGGGGAAAACCATAAGGGAGGAAATATGGGGCACACAGAGCCCCTGGCATCTGGTTAGCAGACCCCCCAGCTTCAACCACCCCGGTAAATGTCTACAGATTGGAAGAAACAGTTGCTGGCCGCCATTAGCGCTATATCCTAACAGTACCCGCCCCTCCCCCATCTCAGGTCTTCCAAAATGTCAATAGCCAGAGTGACTTATAGCCTAGACTGAAAGAAAAGTCATAAGAATGGTGGGAGTGGGGAGGAGGGATGACGGGTGAGTGGAGATGCATACTGAGCCCTGGCATGGGGAAATGGGCAGCACGTGGAACCACTGTTGGAAGGGTAGGGATGGGGGCAGGGGGAAAGGGTGCCATGGGGACACACAAACCTCCTGGCATGGGGGAGAATGGGGACAATGGTACAGGTGTAAGGGGGGGGACACAGAGCTCCTGGCATATGGATGGAGGGGTTGCAGTGAGTCCCTGAAACAGAGAGAGATGCCAGGCTGGCATGCAGGGAACGTGTGTGTGTGTGTTTGTGGTGGGGGGGAATGGAAGGATGGAGGTAGATATTACCACATCTGAGGTAGAAGCCAAACTCGAACAGCTTAATGGGACTAAATCGGGGGGCCCAAATAATCTTCATCCAAGAATATTAAAGGAACTGGCACATGAAATTGCAAGCCCATTAGCAAGAATTTTTAATGAATCAGTAAACTCAGGGGTTGTACCGTACGACTGGAGAATTGCTAACATAGTTCCTATTTTTAAGAAAGGGGGAAAAAGGTGATCCGAGTAACTATAGGCCTGTTAGTTTGACATCTGTAGTATGCAAGGTCTTGGAAAAAAATTTTGAAGGAGAAAGTAGTTAAGGGCATTGAGGTCAATGGTAACTGGGACAAAATACAACATGGCTTTACAAAAGGTAGATCGTGCCAAACCAACCTGATCACCTTCTTTGAGAAGGTAACAGATTTTTTAGACAAAGGAAACGCAGTGGATCTAATTTACCTCGATTTCAGTAAGGCATTTGATATGGTTCCACATGGGGAATTATTAGCTAAATTGGAAAAGATGGGGATCAATATGAAAATTGAAAGGTGGATAAGGAACTGGTTAAAGGGGAGACTACAACGGGTCGTACTGAAAGGTGAACTGTCAGGCTGGAAGGAGATTACTAGTGGAGTTCCTCAGGGATCGGTTTTGGGACCAATCTTATTTAATCTGTTTATTACTGATCTTGGCACAAAAAGTGGGAATGTGCTAATAAAGTTTGCGGATGACTCAAAGCTGGGAGGTATTGCTAATACAGAGAAGGACCCGGATATCATACAGGAAGATCTGGATGACCTTGTAAACTGGAGTAATAGTAATAGGATGAAATTTAATAGTGAAAAGTGCAAGGTCATGCATTTAGGGATTAATAACAAGAATTTTGGTTATAAATTGGGGACACATCAGTTGGAAATAACAGAGGAGGAGAAGGACCTCGGAGTATTGGTTGATCACAGGATGACTATGAGCCACCAATGTGATATGGCCGTTAAAAAAGCTAATGTGGTCTTGGGATGCATCAGGCGAGGTATTTTCAGTAAAGATAAGGAGGTGTTAGTACAGTTATACAAGGCACTGGTGAGACCTCATCTGGAATATTGTGTGCAGTTCTGGTCTCCCATGTTTAAGAAGGATGAATTCAAACTGGAACAGGTACAGAGAAGGGCTACCAGGATGATCCGAGGAATGGAAAACCTGTCTTATGAAAGGAGACTCAAAGAGCTTGGCTTGTTTAGCCTAACCAAAAGAAGGCTGAGGGGAGATATGATTGCTCTTTATAAATATATCAGAGGGATAAATATCAGGGAGGGAGAGGAATTATTCAAGCTTAGTACCAATGTGGACACAAGAACAAATGGATATAAACTGGACATTAGGAAGTTTAGACTAGAAATTAGACAAACGTTTCTAACCATTAGAGGAGTGAAGTTCTGGAACAGCCTTCCAAGGGGAGTAGTGGGGGCAAAAGACCTATCGGGCTTCAAGACTAAGCTTGATAAGTTTATGGAGGGGATGGTATGATGGGATAGCCTAATTTTGGCAATTAATTGATCTTTGATTATTAGCAGGTAAATATGCCCAATGGCCTGTGATGGGATGTTAGATGTGGTGGGATCTGAGTTACTACAGAGAATTCTTTCCTGGATGTCTGGCTGGTGAGTCTTGCTCACATGCTCAGGGTTTAACTGATTGCCATATTTGGGGTAGGGAAGGAATTATCCTCCAGGGCAGATTGGCAGAGGCCCTGGAGGTTTTTCGCCTTCCTCTGCAGCGTGGGGCACGGGTCACTTGCTGGAGGATTCTCTGCACCTTGAGGTCTTTAAACCACGATTTGAGGACTTCAATAACTCAGACATAGGTTAGGGGTTTGTTACAGGTGTGGGTGGGTGAGATTCTGTGGCCTGCATTGTGCAGGAGGTCAGACTAGATGATCATAATGGTACCTTCTGACCTTAAAATCTATAAGTCTATGATGCAGAATCCCTGGTGTGTGCAATGCACTCAGATGACAGACGGAACAAAGCGTACAGCCCTCGAGTATTACTAGTTATCACTTCTATAGTGTTGCGCACATGTGCAGCACTTTGTATAGCCCGAGGTTGGATATGTTGCTTTGCTGCAGGTCTGCATTTTGGTTTTGGCTAGAGCCACTGGCTGTATTGTCCCTTTCTAGGGTGAGACTAGAGGTGCCCAGGTGCTCCTCAGGAACACGCAGAAAAGGAGATTTGATGTACAATACAGTGTTTTATTTAGAGTTTAAAATGATCAGCGATATGGCACAGTCAGGGTGGTAGGAATTTCCATTGTTCTTACTCCCTGCGGTCACAGCTCCGTTTCCCACAACACAGCGATGGCTTTGGATGAACATGAAGAAACGTCCTGGGAACGAAGCAGCCCTAAGTCACAGCTGTCACTCAGTGGGGCAGCAGCCTCCAGGCAAGTGAGTCTATACATGCCATGCCATGCTCCAGAGGGGTCTGGATGGAACCAGAGCCAACATCAACAGGAGCCTGAAACACTAGCAAAGTGCTCGGAGAGCTGCTCCCAGAGCAGAGACTCAACTCAGCTGTGATCTGTGAGGGGATTAATGCTGGATAATATTAAGCAAGTTAAACCCGGGGGTAGCTGGAAATGCTTGGATCCCATAGTGACGGGGTGCTCCAATACATAGCTAGAACAATCATTATTTTACAGCCTCTTTTCTCCTGCAGAGAAGACTCTACTCCCCAGACATGCACTTGGCAAATGCTTATTTAGAAGAGAAGTGATGGGCCAGCATCTAAGGGCCCTGTCTCCCCAGTGGTAGGGGGAGCAGGCAAAGGCAGAGGAAGGTGTGGGTCTGGGTTTGAGAGAAGTCTAAGGACTCCCATTATTATTTGCATCACAATGGGATGTGGAATGTCCCCCCCCCCCCCCCCGCCCTGGCACTAAGTGCTGTACAAACACACATGGAAAGAGTTTGTGCCCCAAAGAGCTTGCGAACGACACAGACAAAGGGTGGTGAATGGAAGGAGTACAGTCCCCATGTTACAGAGAGGTTAAAGGTAGGTCTGCACTGGAGCCGGAGGTGCACTTCCCAGCTCCAGGAGACGACCGCGCTGCAGCTCTGATCGAGCTAGTGCACTAGAAGTAGCAGCGTGGCCGCAGTGATGCGAGCAAAGGCTCAGGGAAGCTGCCTGAGTACAATCCTAGAGAGACAAGGTAGGTGAGGGAAGGGATAGCTCAGTGGTTTGAGTATTGGCCTGCTAAACCCAGGGTTGTGAGTTCAATCCTTAAGGGGGCCACTTAGGAATCTGGGGCAAACTCAGTACTTTGCTCCTGCTAGTGAAGGCAGGAGGCTGGACTCGATGACCTTTTGGGGTCCCTTCCAGTTCTAGGAGATAGGAGATCTCCATTAATTTAAATAGCTTTTAGTGAACCAGCTTGTGTTTGGTGAGAGAGACACGCTTTTGAGCGGACCCAAGTCTGTCGAAGGTCCCAGGCATGCCCTCAGGTGGCTCGCCCAAGGTGTTGTGGCCCAACTGCTGCTGATCAGAACTAGTGCATGTACGTCTACCCACGCTGGGAATTACACCTCCCAGCTGCGGTGTAGTCGTCTCCTACGTTACTTGCCAAAGATGACACTGGAAATGGATTGCAGAAGCAATACCTGAACCCCATCTCTGGAGTCCCAACCCACTCCCTTAACGACATGAGCAGGCTTCTAAGCCCGACTCGGTGGAGATTAAGCTTGTCGCTACTTAGTGTCTAGAAAGAGGGTGCCACTTTGGCTCGTATCCCCGGCCATGAACCCTGTAGCACGTGAAGCAGCTCTGTTGGTTGGGCAGCCAATGCAGTCACAGGTGGAAGCCGAAGGAAACGGGTGAAATCAGTGGTACCACAATGAAGATCAGAGCATTAGCCACACTTAGGACCCAGGCGTTGGAGGGAGAAAGGAGAAGGCAATGCCAGGAAAATACAGCTGGCAGAAATATGTTACAGGCAAGAGCCAGAGAGCAGTTCTCTTGCATCGTGTGCCTGCTGGCTGAGCTAGACAGGCCTAAATTTCATTTCTGATTGTTTGTAGGAATAATTATATCCTTTGCCCGTCCTCCAGTTCACCCCATCTGCAAAGCTGGCGTGGGCACCAGTCAAGTACATCCCATTCAGGTTGGACCAATGACAGTCCTTGTACCACCAGGCCCCCTTGTAGATTGCAGCACAGTTTCGAGCGTTTGAGCCCAGGTCGTTGTCATGGTCTCTGGTTGAAAACGGCATGTCCTTGTGTGAGGTTAGTGAATCACCTGTGGAAAATAATTGTGTTACTTTGTCACAAAGATGTTACAGTTCCTTGTCTTGCCAGGGCCTGATCTCAAGCCCGTTGACGTGGATGAGGGTCTTTCCAGGGATTTCAGGCCACGGCACTCAGCATTATCGTACCATATGCTGCGCTGTCATATGTGATCACCTGCTTCGTTCCCCAAATCCCAGCCAGTGAGTTCTGCCACGGGATGGCTTATTTCACTACCCGGCACCAGGAAACCCTTGCAGGGCGGGAGAAAGGCTCTTATGCTTAGTGGAGGAAGGAGGAGAAGGCAGCACATAGGAATTTACACATACAAACATATGTAACGCCAACAGACCCCGGTCGCTGGCACTGAACCGGGGACCTCTGGAGCTTAGTGCATGAGCCTCTATCTCATGAGCTAAAAGCCGACTGCCCCTTAACTAAGGCTGTAGCGCAGACTCAATCTCTCTCACCGTCCATCCCGTTTTTAATGGGACAGTCCCGTATTTAAGCCCTATTGCAGGTGTCTCGCCTTTTTTAAAAAAAAAAAAAAAAAACAAAAAAAAAACAGGCAAATTGTCCACTATTTTCTGGTCAGTCAGCGCAGCCCCGGCCGTGTCTTGTTTGTGGCTGGCGAGTGAGGGCAGGCAGGTGGTGGCTCGTCCGTGAGAGCACGTGGTGGCCTCAGGCCGGGTGGAGAGGCAGGAAGATGACACGTCACGTAGGACAAGAGGCAGCCCCGTGTGTGAGGGGCTAGGGGTGTGTGTCACCTCTCGCCATGTGACACCTTAAGCAGGGGTTCTCAATTGGGGTCTGCAAGCACTTTCGGGGGGGGGGGTCCACTGGGCGCCAATGCTGAAACCCAGAGCCTAAGCCCCCAGCGCCCCCCGTGCCCCCCATGGGGCTGCAACCCCGATCCCTGGTGCCGGGCGTGAAGCTGAAGCTGGAGACGTGGGACTGGCGCCCCGATTGCTGGCTCCCGCCGCAGGGCTGAAGCCAAAAGCCTAGAGCCGGCCCTGGCAGCAGCAGCGCATCCTGCATGGGGGGCGCCCTGGGGCCACTGCGGTTCGCATCGGGGAGCAGCGCCCGCACCTTATGGCCGGGCGGGCTCCGAGCGCGAGACACTCGGGCAGGGCAGCCGGGGCTGGGCGAAGCAGTCGAGCTGCCCAGGGGCTGCGGCAGGGCGGCCAGGAGCAGCAGTGGGGCCATAGAGGAGACCGGTGCCCGGGGCGCTGCCGTGCGGGGCCTGCATCCCGCTCTCTGGGGCTCCGCTCCCTCCGAGGCTGCCCTGCCCCAGCTCCTCAGCTCCCTGCCAGGGCGGTCCCCTGGCTCTGCCCTCCCGGGTCCCGGCCGGTCCTGGCTGGGGGGACCCTGGGCTGAGAGGGCCCGGGAGCCCCGCTGCTTACCCCGACCCTGCCAGTGCTGGAGGCGAGGGGGGAGCGGGCAGAGTCAGCACTGGTGGGAGGGAGCCCAGGGTTGGGGCGGCAGGGGGTGTGGGTGGGGGAGAGCCCAGCAGGGGGGTGCGGGTGAGGTGTGGGGGAGAGCCCAGTGCTGGGGCGGCAGGGGGTGCAGGGGGAGCCCAGGGCTGGGGTCGGGGGCAGCCAAAATTTTTTTTGCTTGGGGCATCAAAAAACCTAGAACTGGCCCCGGGTGGCGCTCCCTCCCTGGACCCGCCATGTGGGGTTGGCTTGAGCCCTCCTGGCCCCTGCCCCCCAAAATAGAAGTCATACTACGCCTATGCCTGAGGTTGCCCCCCCAGACCCCTGGGGCCCCCCTTTCCCTGCTGGGCTCTGGAGTTTTTATAGCATGTGGGGGTGGGGAGCGGCTACTACATAGTTCTGATTGATTCCTGTTGAATATGAGCAATTTTACAAGATGTCCCATATTCAGCATAGGGCAATATGGTCACCCTAGCTTTAAGTGGTCTCGGTGCCACTTGATGGTACAGAACACCACACCCAAGGAGGTGTGCAGGTTACACATACTTTTAGTGGGGGCTGTGCGGGTACTCAACAACTCTTAAATATACTCATCTCAATATGGGGAAAGCTGGGTCTTCTCACTCGGCAGCGTGACCACATTGCCCCGTGATTTCACACCATTACAAGAGGTGCTTTGGGAATGAGGTCGCTAAGTCACTAGAAGAATGCAGTGCTTTGGGGATGCTATTACGTTGCATCTCTTCAGCGCGTCTGTGGAGGTAGTGGGAGTACATGAACGCTGTAGCTTAGAGCAGAGACCTCACTGGCCTCCCACCTCACCGCCTTAGGGTTTCTTTTCTGGTACACCGTTAAGGACAGACGTCCCTAACCAGACAAGTGGTTAATAGAGCCCTGATGGAATTTCAAATCAACGATGTTCAAGTGGGTTCAGAATTCCTAAAATGCCAGTTGGCGCTAGTGAAATCATCTTAGAGATTTGGAGGCTAAATACAAAAACAATGGGCTGCATTTGGTGCTGATTTACCACCACTGCGACCACACTGATTGCACAGTGTTAATCAATCCAGCATTTGTTCCAGTGCTATAGGGAAGATTCCTGTTCTCCAGTCCCTCTGTCAGTGTTTCCTTGCCTGGAACTGAGTTTCCAGATGCTGTAAATAAATTTGATCCTGTGTCTTAGATGCACATTTCTCCCCCCGCCCCCCCACAAGTGATTAAACAGTTATGACAACGAGGGAGGAATTTATTTTGCTTTTGCCACAAGGTGTCATCTCTCTCTGTTGGTTGGGCCTGTTTTTCTTGTGCTGTGAAAGATATAAGACATGCCCAGAACCAGGGGGGGCTCTAGCTTTTTTGCTGCCCCAAGCACGGCAGGCAGGCTGCCTTCGGCGGCATGCCTGCGGGAGGTCCCCGGTCCCGCGGATTCGGCGTACCTGCCGCCGAATTGCCACCGAATCCGTGGGATCGGCGGACCTCCCGCAGGCATGCCGGCGAAGGTTGCCTGACTGCCACCCTCGTAGGGACCGGCAGGGCGCCCCCCATGGCTTGCCGCCCCAGGCACGCACTTGGAGCGCTGGTGCCTGGAGCCGCCGCTGCCCAGAACCTACCTGCAGTGCCTCCAAGAAAGTCTCCAAGAACCAGTTTGTATTTCTCCGTCTCTCCTGCAATCTTGAATGACTTGCACTTGGCAAACTGCGTGTTGTTTTCAAAGTCTTTGAGGTCAATGTGGAGTTCATGGTTTCCTGTTAAAAACAATGTGATCATGAAACACAGTGCAAAAGCAGAATGTGCTCCATCTTTTTGCACTTGACTCAGCCCAATATTTGCAGTAGGGCTGGCGTTACCAAACTGACTTCTACCCTACAATGTCACTGGTCTAGTAGCAAACAGTGCCGCAGCATCCGACCCCCTGCTGAGAAGAGACAGCCTGATTTTCCATCGCTTTGCCCCTTCTGTAACAGTTTACACCAGTGCAAGTCAGAACGAGAGCATTTTACATTCATTTTTGCATTGCAGAGCAAAGAAGAGTCTGGCCCGGAATATCCAGAGCCATCTCCTTCCCTGAAGTTCACTAGTGCCACTGCGTGCTTCAGCCATCAGATGGCTGACAGCCTGTTTAAAGACCTTTCTCTGTTTTAAATGATCCAGCCTCTCCATTAGAGATATAGCATTCTCTGCTTCAGCAGCTTTTCCCAGAAGGGTCGTCAAAAACAGGCTCAGTCCCCTTATCACTATTTTCACCATTGTTAGTGTGTCCCACTGTTCCCTGTAAGGAGGCGGGATTAGACTGAAAAACTGCATCAGTGATTTCTTACCAAGGGATGTCAGCAGGTGGATATTGTCATTCCCCAGCCAGAATTCTGACAGTCGGCTGCCGAAACCTCTCTTGTATGAACCCCAGTCACGGAAAAAATCCACGGAACCATCTACCCGTTTTTGGAAAACCTACAGGGAAAGGAGAGGGGCTCATGTAGGAAACTGAAGAGCGGTGTCTGCCTTTAATAAAAGCTGGGTAAAAAAGGGCAAACAAGACCCGTCCCCCAGTCTCCAAAGGTACACCAACTACTCAGGTGTAAATGGCTTCAATCCATTTCAGTCTCAGTTGAGTAATCGCTCAGCCCTTCTTGGGTAAATGTTCACCGTGAAGAATGGTGCATCTAGATCCCCTATCCACAGCATTGAAAATATATCTGTGACAGAGTGAACTGTCACATGGTGGTGATTGGGGGGGGGGAGGGAAGAGGGGGAGGGAAACCTAAGCAGCTGATTCCAATTAACCAATCCCCTCAGAGACTGCTGGGAGTAGGAGGGCTCTGGGCCTATATAACCCAGACCCAGTTAATCTCAGAGGAGGAGTGACAATGTGCAGGGTGAATGCTGAAGGAGTGCTACAGGGAAAACCGCCTCCGAAAGGAGCAGCAGGAGAGGCAATCGCCTTTGGGGGAAAGGTACTAAGGCTGGGGAGAGCTGGGTACAGGCTGGGGAACTGCTTCCCTAGGAAACTTTGGACTAGCGTGAGAGGCAGGAGAACTTATGGGGAAAAGGGACTAAGGCCTTTTGGTGTAGATGATAAACTAAATATTGATACAGCTCCTTCCAAGAACAGCTCCTATGTTTTCTCTGGCTTCCGCCCCCTCTGGTGGTCAGGCCACTATGGCCCACCAGCCAATAGCTTAGTGGCAGTATTCAATAACTTTAAAGTCCTTTGCATCAGCTCTTACGAAAAGGGTGAATTAAACTAGTCTCTTCAAAAGAATTTAAACCTAACCTCAGCGAAATCCATAGGAATGTCATTCAGTGTCATGGGCTATTGATCGGCTTGCAAAGAACCCACTTTCTCACATCCTGGGACCCTCCTGCAGAACGAGCTTCTGTCTCTGATATTCGTGTACACGTTATTCTCACTTACAATCCATCCCCCCCCATCGGTGTCCATGTCACACAGCACGGTCATGGCATTACAGTCATGCGGGTAGATGGCGTACCAGCCGCTCAGGGTGTTCCCTCTAGCTAACAGCTCCTTGCAGTTTTTTGCTCCTGGACAGAAGCAGAATTTAAAATACTTATTAAAATTCAACATTATTGCAAGCTTTCTAGAACAAAAACACAGATAAAGAGACATCACAAAGCCCACTTTACTGGAACTAAACCTCTGTGACAGAGCCAGGTATTGAACTTGGATCTTCTAAGTGCCAGTCTAGTGTCTTAAGAACAAAACCAGCTGATGAAGAGCAGAAAAATCCTCAGTTCTCAACTGTCTGGGGGCCTGGGCATCAATCTATGCGACCATCCCATTGATCAGCATGATGTCTGTGTATTGTAGCCCTCACAATGGTACTGGCTTTATTAGTCTTCTCATACCTTGGGTGAGTGCAATAACTGAAAACTCCACTCCGTGGTTTTAGCTCTGAAATTGAGGCAGGTTCTTTAAAGACAATATCCATTTCAAATGAGCTTCGCCATTGGGTATGTGTGTTTGTCATGGCCAGGGATATTGTGACAAACACCACGACCCCTACAACAGCAGGGGGAGAATCAAATGTGACTGCATTCTGAAGCCAGGTTCCGTGTTCCCGGAGCAGAATGAGCTGATTGAACAGAAATTCCAGGAAACACTCACCTTTCTTACACTGTACGCTGTCCAGCTCTCGCTCTCCTGTGCAGGAAAATGAAATCGGAAAGGAGTGACTCGATAAACTGCTCATGGTGTCTATCATAAAAATGCTTGTCAATTACAACTACGTGCCTCTGGGTTTGAGATGCACAAACAGTGCCATAAGTTCAGTGTTAAGTTTGCTGGGTTTGTATTTTCATGAGCCATTATTCCTTGGTGGTTCTTCCATTGTCAACTGGATGATGCATTCCCATCAAGGGAGAGGAGTTGCAAGACGCCTGCCCTCCTTAGATGAGAAGGGTGTCTTAGGGCTAGGCAACAGCCAGGGTCAATTTTAGTTTGTGCACTTGAGTACCTTGAGGGTGCAAATAGCTTGTGGGTAAAAAGCAGGCACAGAGCTCATCCTCTTTTTTGTTTGTTTGTTTCTGCTGGACCATGGAGCAGGCCAGCCACGAATGGAGAAGCAGGTTGCATCAGCCCTCCTCCACCTGGGACCCTCAGAATGTAGCATCCCCCCTGTGCACTAGAGAAGGTGGGCAGGGTGTTAGAAGAATTTAGATCTATTAATTGCTCTTTGTAATCCTTGGAGGTAAGGAGCTATAGGGGAGCAAAGGGTTGTTATTAGTCATCCCATCTTTTATAGAAGGATACTTCTTTATTTAAGCAGGAAACTGGCCTTTCTCCCAGGATTCACATGGGGATGGGAATTATGGGCTAACTGGGTCATTTTAACTGAAACCCCTACTCAGAATGGTGCTGGCTCAAATCTGATTAATTTGTACGTTAGAAATATTCCTGGTACTTGAGTTCTGGCACTGGCCAAAAAGTCATCTGTGTGTAATTAGGGGAGTTGTTGCAACACTTGGATGGCCAAATGTTGACATGTTTGTTATGCTAAAAAATGTTTAACTCAGCAGGCTTCACTTCAGTTATGAATGTTACAGAAATATTGCGGGGGGAGGGTGGGGAAGGGGAATCAGTTTGTTGTTTGTGTCCTATGCTTTTAAATACAGTTCTACTCTGAAGAGTGACTATGTACAAATGGCCCTCTCTGACTCTGTCAACACCTCAATAGATATTATACTGAATACACAAACTTCTTAAAATTGCTCTTTATTCATGTTACCACCTCTGTGTTAGACTCTTCTTCTGGTGCCACATCAACAGTACTGTTTACCAAACTCTGGTCACTTAGAATTGTGTAATCCCAACAAAATCAAAAGAACAGCATAGAATTGATTAAGGGCACAACTTGAACACTATAGTATTCCCCAGGTATAAATGAAGGCACTTGTTACTGGTGGTGATGAACAAAAAGGGAAGAACCCAGCATGACTCTCAGATCTCAGGCTGAGTTTGCAAGGCTGGTAAGTGTGGGGGTGTGTGTATGTGTGTGTGGGGGACCTTTTACTTGTAAACTAATCAAATTTCCAGTGGAACCCTTGAGAGATGGGACCCCACTGTGTTACTTCAAAGGAATTCCTTTTTAGCTCAGAGCTGCACTTTAAAGATGAAACTACCGGGCTCTTGGTATGAAAGAGGGCAGAGGTTCTCACCTAGTGTTCCGGGTGCTCCAGGAGATCCTTTATCACCTAAAGAAAGAACACAGGGTCAAATCCTTGTGATACTTGACGATGACACCCTAATCTGTGTAGGGCTTAGGCAATGCCTCGCTTTAAGGCACCCAAGCTTGGAAACATGGCCCCAGTGTATGACATGGATGTGCTATGAATGGAATTACTGAAGCAGAATCCTGCTGAAGTATCTTGCTGAATGTGTCCACCAGGAAGAATTTCAGAGGGCCCCTTCTGCCTGCCTAGGTGTTGATGTCCGTCTCCAAAGGCAGGACTTGGAAGTCCTGATAAGGCCTGGCACATGTGAAAATTGGGCCCATCCTGGACTCTACTAGCTGTCACAGTCCATCACCTTAGATAATGTGGCTTCATAAAATCAGACAAGAAGAATGATTTGAGCTCTCACCTTTTGTACCTGGGGGACCAGCAACACCTCTGTCCCCTGATAAGAGAATGGAAAGGATTAGCAGAGCTGCAGGCATCTCAGAGTTGTGAGCTCAGAGCTGAAGGCAAATCCTGTTCCCATGATCAAGACCTATGGCAAAGGTTTGGCTTAGGAGCTCACCGCATCCTCGCCAGGCCATGGAGTGTTCTCTGATCACTACTGCAGCCTCCAATCAAGCTGCTGCTCCTTCTCCCAGCCTGGGGAATGGCCAGTGGTTCCACCACTCCATTGATCTGCTAGATCTACCCTCAATCTTGCCCTTGCCCACACCCTCCCTGTCCTGTCCCTACTCTCCCTCCATAGCAGGAGATCCTCTGGAGCAGGGTTCCATGAGGCACAGGGCATTTATAGCCCTGTGTGGGTTCTTGGTATTCTGCCCCTGCTACCTGGGCAGAAAATTGCACCCGTTCATTTTTGGGCATAGCCCTTCATGGCTACAAAAGAGGGGCTGGGATTTAGCCACCTTGTACATTCAAAGGAGCATAAGAACAGCCATACTGGGTCAGACCAAAGGTCCATCTAGCCCAGTATCCTGTCTTCTGACAGTGGCCAATGCCAGGTGCCCCCAAAGGAGCACATACTCCTTGGAGAGAAGAGACAAATGCTTTTAGGACAGTGGCTGTTATCTCTATCACCTTCCAAGAGCACAAGGTTTTCCACTGGTTACTTTACCTTTCAGCCCCTGTGGTCCTGCCTTCCCAGGGATTCCCTGTGTTCCCCGAACACCTACACAACACAGAGAAAGAGACTAAATATCTTACAAGACAAATGTTGACATATATTTTACTAAGATGTGGAGTTTGTTTCTTCCACACATGTTACATTTGGGAGTTCCCTCTTTGTCCTCTGCCTTAAAACCAGAGGATGTAGGAAGAAGTTGCTCTTACTGGAAACATTAATGACCTTGTTAAGCTATGTAAACTGTGCCCAGATACCATGGTGATGGGTGCGATAAAGAAATGAATGGAAATAGCTATATGTGCTATTTTTTGGTCAAACGACTGCCTGAAAAATGCTCTGGCAGCACATTTTTTGACTTCACAGCAACACTCCCACGCAGTGGGAAGTTTGAGTAACCCTGAAGGTTTAATCTTGATGGGCTAAATTTCAAAATAGCTCACATCCAGCATTCCGGGCTTTAAAAACAAACAGAAAAAACCCTCCCTCTTGGCCACTTAGTTCAATACCTTAGTGATAGCTGAGCTTTTTTGTAAATCTGACCCTATGAATATCTCAAAGATTTAGCAGCTAGCGGCTCCAATATTTATTGCCTAGATTGTTTCTTGGGGACATCATTCATGTATAGCGTATTGTCCCCACCATGTGGGACCTAGAAGACAAACAGCTCATTTCTCTATATGTGGCACCCCTTGTGTTTCCATTGTGAATTGCCAGTCGGGGGAAATGGACACTCTCTCTATGAGAGCAGAGATCTTTTAAGCTCATGTCTGTTGCAGAGTGAGCGTCTTACACTGTAATCGAGATAGTTAAGGCAATTATTCCTATGATGGGGGTATCTCCAAGGACTGAACGCTTATTATTGTCCTTGGTGGCCTCAGTGGGCAGATCTATGCTAACTCTAGTGTGTTGGCTCAGGATCTCAAGGCTTCCATGACATGGATTATTACACCAGCTGGTTTGGGGGCTAAACTCTTCTTTACAGGCATGCTCTGGATGCTGTCTTTGGGATGGTGTTGGAAATGGAGGGTGACACCATTAAGGGTCAACATCGCACCTCCAGTGCGATGCTGGGGGGTAAAGGGACTACTCCCATGCCACTTGTGGTGGTGTACCTCTGTGCATGGCCTGATATCAAAAGTTGATGGACCAAGCGGGACTCTGTATTATTCAACTATGGGTCAACTCTGCCAGTGGCTTAGTGAGGAATGATAATCGCTTTGTTGCCCAATCATTGACAGATTGTTGCCCAGAGGTCCTCACAAGTCACCATGGCGCTCGTGATGGATGTACTAGAAGGGGAGGTGATGAGAGTGCCTTTAGTGCTGGACCCAGACTGCATCTAATGGATTGGAATACAGAGACTTTTGCATTTCTTAGCTTCAACCACAGTGCTAGCAAAGAGAGACACTTCTCCTCCTCTACTAAAGCATCCAGGAGACCTCAGCCAGCAGGGTTATTCAGAGTGTCAGGCAGGTGAATACATCCAGAATGCTTTCCCTCTGGGACAGAATAGGGCTTCTTCCAGGGTGAAGACTTTTCCATCTATGGAAATCCATATCAAGAGCATTTGGTACATGCTCCAGAGTCCATGTCAGAGCAGGAGATGACCATGGGCATGGCTTATCTTGGACAGTGTTCAGTTAAGTCACTCTTCAGGGTGGAAGAGGCACTGAGGAAGCTGGGCATGATCACCTGTTTACTGGGCACAAATATTTGTCATTCACCCTAGGCTGAGCCACAAACACTTGTCTTGGAACAAACATTTGTGGAGCATTTAGACTAGTGCCCACGTTGTGCTAATTGCCAATTAACCGCTATTAATCAGTTAACTCTAGTTAAAACAGGACCACAGTCTAGTCTTGGCAAACCTTCTGTAACTGGCTCCTGCCTTTGGAAAGCAGCCCTCCTCATGGGCTGTTAGATATGCAGGCTGGTAAGCTTCAGATTGTGCTGCTGGGCTCAGCCAGCCCGGTTATTGACTGTAGTTTGTACGTTCAGGGTTAGCTGAGGTTTTAGGAAGGTCGAGATGTGGGAGTTGTTTGGTGTGACTAACTGTTTTCTACACAGCTTGGCTACTTTTGTTATAAACATCCTAGTTAGGGTTGCCAATTTTGGTTGGACGTATTCCTGGAGGTTTCATCACATGACCATCTTTCATTAAAGAGTAATCTTGAATTCCTGGAGACTCCAGGACAATCCTGGAGGGTTGGCAACCCTAATCCTAGTGCAGCTACTCTTTAAAACAAACAAAACAGTGTCCAAAAGAGAGCTGAGTTACAGACAGTGTTGCTAAATGCTGGCCATGAGAAGACATGACATACAATAGATCCCTAAGTAACCCAAACCTCAAATCATAGAAATCCCAAAACTAGGCTGGTATCCGAACTGTTCATGTCAGCTTTCTCCACTGGTTCATGTCAAGAAGCTATTAAAATGAAGAAAAAATAGAGAAATCATTCACGCATCTATCCATCCTCATCACTCGAATCAGGTTCTCATTCAGTGCCTGGGAATGTACCTTTCAGTCCTGCAGTTCCTGGGTCACCTTTGGGTCCTGCGGCACCAGCCATGCCAGGGCATCCTTGGAGAACGGCGAGTTTATCGGAACCACTGAGTCCCACTATCCTCACCTCTGGAGTAACAAACAAATCAACAAATGACTCCTGTAAGAGTCTCAGGAGCTGAAACCGTCTTCAAAGGGTGGTGGCAGTGGGGAACCTCGCCAGACCCATTTCTGGGTACTTGTAGGGTCCTATTGAAGTGCTCCCAACATCTGAGCACTTCAGTCTAATATATTAATCCCCATGACCCCCTTGTGAGGTAGGTCCTGCCTAATGTTGCAGGAAGTATGTGGCATGGCAGGGACTTAACCATGGTCTCCGACCTCCTAGGTTAGTGACCAAACCATGGGACCATCCAGCCTCCTGATCAAATCCCGATCAGAACCCACAGATCTCATTTGTTAGCTATAAATGCAAAAATAATCATTTCACTCTCAAATGAAATACACAATATACTGCTGTGAAGATGATGATGATAAAAGAACTGTTTATACAGAACAATTACTACTCTAACTACATGTATTTATTAAACTGGTTCCGCTTCAAAGATAGGCTGATCCTAAGATAGCAGTGGGAGAACCACAGATCATGGGTGGTTCTCTGAAATGTATCGATCTCCTAGGCCCTGAAATTAAGCAAGAGCTGCTGAGATTTCTTGTACTCACTGATTTGGGCCAAGTCAGAATCTCACATGAAATAGGTTTTCCTGTGGTGTCATATTAATATGGCTTCTGGTCTTGGATGAAACCAGGAAATTCACTCAAACTTCAGAAAAGTTTGATTTGGTTCAAGAGGGGTGTGTGTGTAAACTCAGGCTGGCTCTTATTTACCCAAAACCATGTGGGTCCTCCCTAACTTGCTGACGTGTTGCAATCTTGAGGCACAAGAGACCTCATGAAGGATGGAATTTCATTCTGTATTTCTCTATTGTAGCAATTCAAATATTATGGCATTTAAATGGAAGGCCGTGTGCAATTTTTAATGCTCTTGAGAGACGCAACTTGTATAAATTCCAGCACTCTTCTGTGGATAGCATGTTCAAGAAAGACCTCAAAATGCCTGTGTATAGAGTCCCACAGATCTGTTATCTAATACAGCATGCCAACAATATGCTTTGAACAGCACTGTTGATTAGAGAGGATTAGACAACGAAATGCTGCAATTATACTACAACTGCAAACTACCTTCTCTTCAAAATTTATTTTTGCCCTGGAAAATCTGATAATTATTAATTCTACATACCCTGGGGTTTCTCTCCTATCCGAAGAGGCCAGCCACATTGGAGAGAGGTTATAAAATAAAGTCTATAAAGAGTCCATTCAAATCTACTTTGCTCTCAATTGTGCAAAGGAAGAAGTAGGAAGGACCAGATCTTTGAAAGTAGCAGATTTGTGTCTCTCTCACCTGGGCAGGTGTCTTCTGTCTTGGCAACCACTGCTGCTATGGAGAGTAAAGCGATGAGGGTTTGCTGTGTCGCTGTCCCCATAGCAGATGCTTCCTCTGCAATGGCAGCTCCAATTGTGTTCTTGTCCCAGTCTCTCTGCTTCAGCGTTTCAGGGCAACACAAGCCTTATATAGGCAATAAATAAAATAGTAAACTCCACCTCCCAATTCCTCACCCTTTCATCCTCCACATTCTCTTTCCCATGAGATTGCTTCAGGGGAAAATGACACAGATGTAGTCACTCAGTAGCCATGGTGACCTAATTTTAAAACTCAGACCCACTTATGTTCCTGTAATCTGGCTTTGGGTGCGCTTTATAGGAGAGTTTCAGCTATGAGATTCAGGCCACATTGAACTTTTACTGCATGAGGGACACTTTCATGTGTTATCACGATTACTAATCATTTTTGTAGTGTAGGAAATGTACACAGCACTTTGCAAACCACAGAGTAAGATAAGCTCTCCACCCCAATACACTTACACTGTGAAACTGATAAGGAAAAGGTGACAGAGGGAACTAGTTCATTTAAACCAGAAGAGTTCCTGGAAGAAGTGTGTTCTAAGGAGATCTCCGAGAACAGAGGGCCGTGACAAAGTGGGAATTTTCTGTAACCTACATATGAATGATATGCATGACAATGACTCCCTTGACTAGGGATTGCTACCCAGTGGGTGCAGAAAGGGTTAAAATGCTCCCAAGGCAGGACAGGACACATGAGGTGCTTGGGTCATGAATGGGACCTTAAGGACTGGTGGAAACTGACCCAGATCCTCCATTGCTATGGAAAGACAATGGGAACCACCCCCCGGGACTGAACAAATGACACCTAACAACGGGGAACATGTAAACTCCGCGCAGGTTCTGCCGGAGAAGGACAGTGGACGAAAATGTAGCAAGGAGCTGTGTTAAGAGTTTGCCTTTGGAGAGACACAGGAACTCTCACCTGGCACTGAGAGACAGATCCAGAGGGAGATGGAGCTTGGCTGGAGAGAGCCCTGGTGCTGGCCAGTCTGAACCCTGTCTTCACCTTTGTTTCTCTGTGGACTTCCCTGTGCTGGAGTTCAGTAACTAATAAACCCTACTCCGTTTTGAAAGGCTGCCTGGTGTCACTGCAAATATTGCTGAAGTGCATGACCCTGGGGCAGGGCAAAAAGTGTCTGAACAGGAGCCTATCTCCATTGGACGGTTTGGGCCGGGCTCATGGTGTGAAACAGGAGTTCTGGAGTCCAGAGGCTCAGTCTCAGAGGAACTGAGGCTGCATGATCCACCCTTGCCGAAGAGTGGGCCCCCTTGTGGCTCTGGCCCACTGAAGGGGCTCCTCCAAGGGACTGGTCAAGAGCTGGGACATAGCACGGATTGTGTGGAGCTGTGACACAGGCATTTGGTGGACCAGCGATGGGAGAAATCAACAAAGCGGAGGGTTAATTTCTGCCACAACCCCCACACTGAAGTCAGTGGGATTGCACCGGGTGTAAAGGTGCAAAATTTGCCTCATTGTCAAAAATTCTTGATGTTTGCCCAGTTCACTGGCTGGGGCAGAGTTTCCTGATCCTGGAAAGCAACTTAATCCAGTTGTTTAATTGCTCACTTTTGTTCTAAGATATTCACAGTTCTTGCAAACAGGGAGGACTTCCCCTCCCTCCCCCTGTAATGGGATGTCTTGCAACATCCTTGGCTTTCCCCTCCCTTATGAAAGGATCGGAATGTGCTCACAACATACCCGACTCACCCTCAGCAGAGTCTCCAGCTTGTATTTCTCACTCCCCGAAGTTCTGAATTATTTGTACTTGGCAAACTATTTGCCGTCAAAACTCAAAGATCGATGTGTAGCTCACGATTTCCTGTTAAACAATTTGGGCTCCCTTTTGGTTAACATAGGTTGATATCACAGGCCGATCATTGTCTTTGCTTTTACTGGCCCAATTGTCATTGTCTGTACCAGCAGCAAATTACAACACCCTTTGCACCAGATCAGCTGTGCTGGTCCCTATGGGGCCTTAGTTCTACCCACTCTTTCCACCTGCTCTGGTAGGACTGTGGAAGTAGCAGGAGCAGTGTCCGGATCCAGGTCGCTCATACAGAGGTGTAAGTGGTGGTGATGGTGGTAGCTCTTACTCTTCCTTGTATATCCCCTGTGGTTCAAGACACAAACTACCTCTACCTCTGAGATTCCGGTTTGATCATATTTATAATACGTATGTGCTGAAAGGCGTTAATGGCTGCCATCAAGCGTGACAGCTCTGTAGCTCAAAGACACAGTTCTGATTGGAGCTCTTTCTTTCAGCCTAAATGAATGGAACAATTAAATTTCCCTTTCTGTTGTGATCGCTGACATCATAAACCAGCCCTGTAACATGCTGCTGGTTTTCTGCCTCCTTTCCCTTGGCTCTCAGGTCTGGTTCTCTGGCTTGCTTCCTACTTCGGGGGGTCACAGTCCTTTTCTCTATTAGTCACTTCCAGCCTTTTGTCCCACTCTCCCAGACTCCCACCTCTGACGTCTGTAGCTCTAGTTTCAGTTGTGTGCTCACTGAGGGCTCTGTCTTTGCCCTTGCTGCCTTCAGCATGTCCACTCCCTTTTACACTTCCTTGGTTCTGTTTCCTCACCTGAAATAAACAGAAAATAACGGTAACCTTTCTGGAACTTTTCCCAGCCTCTGCCCTTGAGAGTCACGTAAGGCTGTCTTACCAGTGCTGGAAGTGTCAGTCTCTGTTCCAATACCAAAGTAGCGTTGCGGCTGGAGTACCCCAAGCTGTGAGCTGCTGTTATCTCTCTGCTGGAGATGAGGCTTGTCAGCTCCCCGCCACTCCAGTTTGTCTTCCTCACCAGCAAACTCCTCAAGGCTCTCCTGGCCCAGACCTTGTCTAGCAGGTAACAACCAGTGAACTCCAGCCCCTGGGTTCCTCGGATGTTTCTCTGCAATGCACAGCCCATATCACTGTTCATTCACAGATGATATTACGTTTGCTGTTCTCTTAAAGGGTCAGTACATTACAGCTTCTTAACTTAACTGGGGTGAATGCACCCTTCCCTTCAAGCACAGAAATGAGTTGGTTTATAGTAGAAATAAAACACATCTATTCACAAAAGGACATAGGTTAAGTGATGCCAAGCAGCAGGGATAAAGGTAGAAATGGTTATGAACATCTGAAAATGACACCATGCTTCTAAAAGACAAACTTATTCTAGCAAGATACTGTCTGTTCAAAATGGTTTCTTGCCCGGTCTCCTTTTCCAGCTTTTACTGGCCACCCTGGCCAGGATCCATCAGAGATCAAATCCCTTGATTCCGTTGTCTCCTAAGGTGAAGGATAAGGATGAAATCTCTGTTCCTTATCCCCAAAGGGACTGTCTTTGTCTTACAAGCCAGGAAGGCCTCCTGGGGATTCTGTCTCCTGTGTCTCTCTGGGGTGCAGGAGCCATATTAATTCTCTGTCTCAAGTTTGGGAGCAGGATAACCCCCACTAGCTTAGCTTGATGTAACTGAGGTAAACCCACTTTCCTTTGTCTAGGACAGACCTGGGTATCACCTTTATCTAGGCTAGGCTGTCTGGTCTTAAACCTGTTCTAGTAACATCATACAGAGGAAATCCATAACTTCACATATAACACTAACACACATGCATTTTACAATGGCATTAACCTGCGAGGAGTTAGTTTTTAAAATGACCCCTCACAAGGCAGTGGTGTGTAAGGTGTGAATACAGGGGAGGGAGTGGTCTAGGGTCACAGGCCACCAAGGCAAGAAGCTGCATGACAGATGGGTAGCTAAGAGCTTTCCTGGGGACTGACTACAAATGCAGGTGCTGGGTGACTTACTGGTTACAGCTGTGTCTGTGTGAGCAGAAAGTCAGAGAATCAATGGTGAGTGGCGCTAGAGGAAGCCACATCTCTTGTGATGTGAGGCTCTGTGCCTGGAGCAGTATTTCACCTTTGGCGGTGTGTCCCATGCCCTTTATCCCATGTGGAGTGGAACCTTAGGTTGTCAGCTCCTTGGGGAAGGGATGTCTTTGTTCTGTGTCTGCGCAGCGCCTAGCACACTGGCTTCCAGGTCCATGACTGGGCCACTGACCTGCATGGCAGTACAAATAACAATTGAGCGCAAAGTCACTGAACATCTTTAGCCTGCGTGGAGCCCCCCTAGCTTTTCCATAGTGGTCATTTTATTTAAATGGAAAGAACGGAAAGATTTACACAGTCCTGGTTTAAATCTGATTGATGGTTTGTAAGTTACAAATATCACTAAGTTCTAATACTAGACAACAAGTTCTAATCCTGCTGTTGTAACACTTGGCTGGCTGCACATTGGCACGTTTATGACGTTAAGCATTGCACTCTTCAGGTCCCACATCGGTTATGAAGTTTAGAGACGTGTTGGGAAAGCACATTGCAGTCAGAAGGGATTTTTTTCTGGTACACTCACGCCAGTGCTTTAAAACGTGGTTCTGCACTGAACATTGACTATGTAGTGCCCCTTCTTACTCACCAGCAGCTGTGCTCCGTGTGTGTATCCGAGTCTTATCTGCTGGGTTGGGTGACAAGTTCGTACTATTGTTATAAATAGGGGGTTTAACCCCTACACTCAGGGCTAGTCTACACGGCAAGGCTACATTGGCGCCGCTGTAGCGCATCTGGTGAAGACACTGCTTAAGTTGATGTAACTTACGTC